GGAAAGAGGAAGATCACAAGCACAGATGAGGAGGAGAGGACCTATCCTCAACTCAGCTTTAAAAATGAAGCAGTAATGCAAAAAAAATCCCACAGAATAATGTGCTTTAGCACAGGAAGCAACAAGAGCTCAGGTCCCACTGGGATTCTAGAAGCAGAGCTGGAGCTAGGCTTGCCGAGCTGGCTGGGAGGCTCGCGAGGGGGGTCTGACCCGGCTGTGCAACTTCATGCCAGCGGGAAGCCAGGCAGCAGTGCTGCTGCTTGGGGGCTGGCCTCAGCGGGTGGGGAGAAGCGACGGGCTGGAGGCTGAGACGGGCAGATTTGTGACTTACAAGGATCCAGGTCCAGAGACAACAGTGAAGCCATTGGGCAGGGGAAGAACTGGGAGGTGCTGAGGACACTATCGTTTCAGTGTCTGACAAGCAGGAGACAGGCACGCAAGCACCATGGAAGGAGCCGGGCATTCAGGGAGCTCGTGCTCCCCTCCGTACCCACAGTCAGAACCAGCTGAAGCCCACTGGGAAGCCTTGGCCGTGCGAGTGCTTTTTGGGTTGCTGTACACGTTGAGTGGGCTGGGAGGTTGGTTGGCTTTTTCCCTGCTAAGCCTCTTTCCATTGCGTTTCATATTGTACAGATAACAAACAAACGAAGTAACAGGAAAGCTGTTCTCGGGCATACACACAAAGCCACGTGTGCCAAGCTTCACGCGTCCAGCCACAGCTGCTGCCTCATTCGGTTTCAAGCTTCTCGGCACAAAATCGCGAGCAGGCCTGTCCTGCAGTTCTCAGGTCTTCCCCAGGAGATCCAACGGCAGCGAGAGGTTTGTGAAAACCACGTGGAAACCCAAATCGCATGTAACGTTCTCTTCTGACAAAAGTACAAGCTTTAAACTGTCCTGAGCTGTGAAGTTCTGATGGGGACATTACAGAGAAATGAACCAAGCCTCACAGTAGCTCCGGGAGAGAAAGATTACGTATTTTACAGCTTGCTCAAGCACTGCTTTTAAAAGGCATTTAAATGTCTCCCTCACATATTCTAAAAGATTAAAGTAATTTTTTTCAAAAGCAGCTCCTGACTACAGATACCTATTTCTAGAACCTGCGGGCCTGTTGCTCCTCAGAATGACTGTGTATTTATACATAGGATACTGAAATATTAAAAATGAATACGCATTACTTTATTCTCTTGTCTTTTTGTAGGATGGGTGGAAGATAAATTATCCAACAAAAGAATTTACTCTTACAGCACTGAATGATTCAAAAACTCAAGAGATTCTTCCTTTTTTCCTCTTCTGTCTGACCAGGACTTGCCTTCAGAAGAGGATTCCCAAGGGGCCACGTACGCCTTGAAGCTCCGAGGCGGCAGGTAACCTGGTCAGACACAGCTCACGCCGAGTTTTTCCTAGCGAGCGGCTCCAGCCTTTGCTCAGCACGTACCACTCTACGGAGGAAGCCTCTGCCGAGCACCTAACTTCAGTGCAAAATATTTCTCTTGAGGTCAGGCCTTTTAGGCCTTTTGCCTAATTTAGGTGCAAATAGAGGGCAGAAAAAGCTCCAGAAATTCTAGTGAATTGTTTATAGTTTAACACAGCTAAAACCAACCTGTCAGTCACAGTTTCAGTTTAACACAGCTAAAACCAACCTGTCAGTCACAGTTTCAGCCACAGTCTCTGTTCCTGTGGGGAAAACCTGTTCTTAAAAAAACAACCATTATCTTATCTTCAGACTTTGGAAACGTTAACATCAGCTTTGTATAATGATTCAAAGGTCTACCTATATACAACGACAGCTGTGAAATAAACCTGTCCTAGATGATTGAATACACTTGTACATCTATTTAAAATATAATGTTGTCTTTTTAATCAAAAAACCCCTGCAGAATAAATAAAGGTGATGCATTAATGCTCACACAAAGCAGTCTTTTGTTGGGTTCTTTCAGTTCAGGGAGACTTAAGACTGCTGAGTTTGCTGCTCGGACATCCAGCAGCTTGAAGGACCTGGCCCTCCATTTGGTGAGCTCAGGGCTTTCCTCGCCGACGCAGACTTTGCTGGGTGCTGACCGCTCTCGGTCACCTCCGCTTTTACAGTTACATGCAGGAATCCTGGGTTTAAAAAGAGCTATTAAGGGCCTTGAAGAACCCAAAAATGCCTGGCGATAATTTGCTTCCACAAGCACTGAACTGTCCCTGAAATGTAAAGAGAAAAGCAGGATGAGTGCTACCTGCGCATGCTTTTGAACTAGACTGCAAAACCTACTACCCGCTGCATAATGCAATGCCTGGTGTCGCAGGACCCCAAACTGAGCCATAGCTGTAGGTAAGATAGTAACCTATTTGAAAATTAATACTGTATATTTAACGCTTTGCATTAGCTAGTTTGGAGCAATCTGAATTCTGCTCACCTGTCCCACTAGATGTTGGCTAGTAAATACATTAACTTTTGCCTCATCATCTCATAAAGCATCATCAATGTGAACACTGGTTTGAAATAGAGTCTGAAAGATCTCGTAGGATTCTTTATGCTTTAATTTGAACAGAAATTGTTAAAGAGAAGTGAAGAGAATTAACACAGCCCAATTAATCCACGGGGTAGCTAAAGACACCTGGGTAGCGAAGGCCAACATCAATCCGACCCAGTGCAGATGTTGTCATCTCATCATTCGCTGTCTGCAGAGCCAAGAGCGATTAAACGCAGGGAGAAACCAGTGGCAAAGCTGTAATTTATTGCATGAGACCATTAGTGGGAAAACAGCCTTCTGACAGAGAGAATCTTTTCTCTGCCTGCTCCCAACTGGGAAACGTGAAGAGCAAATAAAGCGACCTCCGCCGCGGTTCGTCTGCTCGCCCAGCCGCCTCGCTGGCGGGGCAACAGGTGACTGTCGGCCGCTTGTGCGGCGCAGCTTCGCGCGGCTGGCGATCGACCTCCCGCAGCAGCAGAC